TATCTTATGGCAGTAGAAAAATATGTTTGTTAACCCTCTCTGACACATTACTTACTTAGATATACTTAATAATGTTAAACAGTAATGTAATATTATTATCTTGCTCTTGTGCATCTCAAGGATTTAATATTCATCTAGTAGAATTTTTTTTTTAAAGGTTATAATGAAAGAACGAATGAGCATGAGATGCTGTCTAGTATTCTGAAAAAATAATACAGTAGAAGTAAAAGTAAATGAAGCACAAGGATTGTGATATATTTTAAAAAGGATCACAGATATATATGTGTGATTTTAGAAACCTGTTCTGATGCATGAACTGTATTTTTACAATATGCATTGCTGTTGTTTCTTTCTTTTTGGGTCAGTAGATGCATGATCTGTATGTGTTGATCTGTGTGTGGTGTATATATATGTGTATTATTGTATTGTTATATTGCTATATTATTAGAGATTTACTTCTGTCTTTCCTCAGGTCTTGGTCCACAGCCAACCATAGAACCTCTTCCAGAGTACACAATAACGCAAGAAACCTCAGAGGAAAGGTCATGGCGATCTGTCGTAATATCGGGTATTGAACGGCGCATTGACATGAAGGTAAGCTGGAGTATGTGCTCTCTTGCTTAAGCATTGCATAACTTTGTTTGGTTTCTTCTCAGTTGTAGTGTGTCTGTGGCTTGTTTTAGGGTTGTTTTTGTCTTTTTAATTAGATTAAATGCAGTGCTTTCTGTCTACTTTTTGTGCCACATATATTAATAATTTGGTTACATATTTTATTCTACAATATTTGTGAATTCAGCCCTCAGGGATACTATTATAGGATCATAATTATTACCTTTTTGTGCTGAGTGAATAAAAAATTCTACATCAGTTTAGACAGGTGCGAACACATTCTTTCAAGGACATAAAAATCAGAAATATATTTTGACTGTTGTAAAAAGTTGTTATTTGATTTATTGAACTGTAGACAATATTTGACATGTTGATGAATCTATAAAGGTTTTAATAATGCTTTACTTTCCCCTTCAGGTCATTGAACCCTACAAGAAGGTGCTAAGTCATGGAGGCTATCTTCCAAGCAGTAATGAAGCAATTATTGTCTTTTCTGCATGTTTCCTGCCTGACAGGTCACGCAAAGACTATGATTATGTAATGGATAACCTTTTTATGTAAGTGTCTCTTATATAAGTAAAGAAATGTAGTACAGTTTAAGACTAAGATTTACTTTGGTATATAGCAAACACTCTGTATTGCAATTTAAAAGGCTTAGAAACTTGTTATCTATTATGGGTATGTAAGTAGCTGATTTAAGAGACTAAAAAGGGAGTTATGTACTATTAATGATGAAAGCCAGTTTCATTGAATATTACCTAAGAGGAACCCTTTTTCATTGTTTTCAATGAAAATAGATTTAATGCAATATAAAGTGATTATTATTCAGTACTTGAAGGTAGAAGTAAAGGGGAAATATCTATTCATTTCAGTTTCCTACTATGTTGAGGGTCACTTTCCTGCCAACTGGATGATGTTTCCTTATTATAGTTGCCCAGACCTGCTGAATATATTCACAGCAAGAGATAATTTATGTTAGAAGATGCCCCTATTTTGCAAATATGACTTGTCCATTAATTCTGAAATGCATTATATGAGGATCTATTAATTTAATGAAGGATCTAGTATCCCAATTCTGCATTGAAAATTGTTTTTCCATTTTTACTTACAGAATCATGAAAAGTTATTTGATCACTAGGTCTAAGTTTGATTTAAATAGTTGATCCTATGAAAGATGATATTTTTTACCTTCATTTACTAATATCATATATTGATATTTCAGGTATGTCTTGACAACCTTAGACCAGTTGATTGCAGAGGACTACGTATTGGTTTACCTTCACGGGGCCACAACACGAGGGAATATGCCGTCCTTTGCTTGGCTGAAGGTATTTGCCACATTAAGATCAACTTGATTTTTGCACTTGAAGATAACAGAACTCCTGGATGCCATACAACAAGTTCTTTGATATCTATATATTATATTGATTTTAAAAGAGAGTATAAGACAGATATGCTGTAATAATGTGATATATGTAATGCACCTCATGATCACACAGCATGCGGATGAATAAATATAGATATGAAAAATGTACACAGGTTATTTAACTATTTACAGATCTACCTACCTACCTACCTACCTGCTGACTTCCTCACAAAAATAGCTGTTTACTTACCTACATGTGTATATACCTACCAACCTACTTACCTACTGCCTCCCTCCTTCCTTCCTTCCTTCCTTCCTTCCTTCCTTCCTTCCTTCCTTCCTTCCTTCCTTCCTTCCTTCCTCCTTCCTTCCTTCCTTCCTTCCTTCCTTCCTTCCTTCCTCCTCCCCTCTCCCTCCCTCCCTCCCTCCTCCCTCCCCCTCCCTCCCTCCCTCCCTCCCTCCCTCCCTCCCTCCCCCTCCCTCCCTCCCTCCCTCCCTCCCTCCCTACCTACTCCCAACCTCCCAACCTCCCAACCTCCCTACCTCCCTACCTCCCTACCTACTTACCTACTTACCTACCTACCTACCTACCTACCTACCTACCTACCTACCTACCTACCTACCTACCTACCTACCTACCTACCTACCTACCTACCTACCTACCTACCTACCTACCTACTTACCTACCTACCTACCTACCTACCTACCAGCCTACCTATCCACCTACCTACCTACCTAAATACCTTCAACAAAACCTTTTCTTCACAGCACAGAATAGATGCTAAAATCTTTGAAAAGCGACCTCTGACCCCTATTTTTCCCTCCTCCAGCGCTGCTATCAGATGATTGACCGACGTCTGCGGAAGAACCTGCAGGGCCTTTACCTGGTCCATCCGACGTTCTGGGTCAAGACAGTGGTTGTGATGACAAGGCCTTTTGTCAGGTATTACCTAGGATTGTATACGTGTTGAATTATGTTGATTTTTTCCCCCTCATATTAGTTTTGATTTGTGTGACTATGTATTTGATTTCTTATTGATTTATTTAGTTTTATGTCAGATTTTGTATGAATAATTACTAGGATTATGACTGATTATTTGATTCATAGATGTTCATAAAAGATGAACAGTCTCACAGGATAGGAGTATTTCTTTCTTACAAAACAGATCCTCATGAGCAAACATCTAAGACTCTGTTCTTCACATTCGGATCTTGGAATTGATTTGATACTTGTTCTTTTCCTTGGTGCTTTTGTAACCACTTCATTTATATCTTCGACACTCAAGCTTCCTCTTTCCTACCTCCCAAACACCAATTATAGCACCTTCAGGTCACCTACTAGAAGTGGTGTGCAGAGGTCTGGTGTTGCCCAGGGCCAACTCCTTGATTGTGTGCCCCAAAGACTCGAGTATAAGGCCTAGTGCTTAGAAATTTTAAGAGAAAGGGAGATATTTTGAATATGTAAACTCAGATGAAATATGAAATAAACACTATTCAATTTAGATATAAATTTCAAAATTACTATCTTACTTCCCTCTCTGATTGAATGCCCATCCCCAATTTGTATGCCCGAGGCCACTGCCCTTTTGACCCCCCCCCCCCCTCTGCACACCACTGCCCACTAGGAAGACTTACAAGCCTATGCCTTTCTCCTGGAGTTTCTTTAAATAAATCAATTCTTCTTTTCCTTCGGTATGAGCTTAGTTGCAGCCAGTGTTCATGATTGCAAAGGAAGTGAGCAAGAAAGCTTATTGCTCTTACCGAGAAAACATTAGCTGATTCACATTTTACTAACAATTTTGCTAGGTATCATTGCTAGGGGCTAATTCATTTATGAATAGAATTTTGCTCCCACATCAGAAGGAAATTCTGCTGCTTCACATAAAGTCTAACACTTCTTATCACATTCCATCTATTAACATACGTGTGTCTCTTGCTGTTTACTATAACAAGGTGTTTGAATGAATTTGGTAGGATGAATGCCCAATAATCTCCCTTGTTGCTGCAGTAGTTATCAGATTTGTTGGATACTATATAGATATCCCAAATTCAGTATTCACATGTAGGATAACTTCCTTCCACTTTTGCTCCAAAATTCTGTTACTTTCTTGCTAAACATGTCTTTCAAGAATCTTTGTTCTTTCAAGAAATGCCTGTTATTATCAATGGGGATTTTAAGTAATGTTTTATGCTTCCCTATCCAATGTATTTTTAAGCATTACTCTTGCATGATTAATTGAATGATGCCCTTGAAGTACTCCTATACTTTAAAAGGGCTTTAATTTATTATTTTAGGGTAGTACCTTACCATAAAAATCATCGCAAAAGTATGTATATATAAGGCTTTTAGATATAAGCATAAGTTTGTTTATATTATTTTCTTCTATTTCAGTGCCAAGTTTGCAAGGAAACTCAGGTTTGTGAATAGCCTGAAAGAATTATCAAGTCTTATCCCTATGGACCAAGTATGCATCCCTGACCGAGTGAAACAGTAAGTTTCTGATAAAAAAGTTTCAGTTTACCTTTGGGTGTATTTTACACGGAACACTTCATATAGGATAAAATTATCTACTAGATTTTTTGGCCTCTCATTTCATTTTTATGTTTGGGGATTTTTTTATGATTAATAAAGAATGAAAGAAAAAAAATGTATGTTCAAAGAAATTCCTCTGGATAGTTGTGTCAAAAAAAAAAAGCATATATGAAATTAGTTATGAAATGAAATTTTCAAGTAATGCTATAATATATGTCATATTGTCCTTTGTATGTGATTCTTAATCAGCTATGAGGGTGTATGGTTTTGGCTGAAGTAATGCTGATGCTTTTTGAAGATAGTCAGTATTTTTTTTTTTTTTAAGTGCATTTTTAGAGAACTACTTTTCTTTTTAAACAAATTTGTTTTTCACATCATCGTGGCTGAAACATTCAAAGTAAAATGGACTGAAATGACTGAAATGAAATCTCAGTAACTATTTACCTCGTCAAAATTTTGCCACATAGAAATGAATACGAGTGCAAGCCCTAA